AGAGTGTTTGTTGTGGGGGAGGAAGGGAAAGGAGAATGTTAGCCGCTTTGAGACTCCTTCGGGTAGTGATAAAGCGGGATATCAAATCCAAACTCTTCTTCTGCACCACTGGGAACAGCTGCCCTGCACACATTGCATCTGGAAGGTGGCTAAGTGCAACTGTCTTTCCCGGACATTTGCTTTAACATGTAAAATCCCCCCCCCCGAATGGGCATGTAGACCCCCCCAGAAGAGGATGTGTCCAAGAATTCCCAGACTTATAGCAGCTCTATCTTATGGTAAACTTTTCTTTTTCAAAGAAATAACTGTGGGGGAAATATATTTGTAAATTATCATATTGCACAATACAGTGGAACCTCGGAAGCTGAACGCCTGTAAACTCGAATATTTCGGCTCCTGAAAGGTTGAAAACCGGAAGTGATTCTTCCGGGTTTCGAATGATTTTCAGAAGCCAAACATCTGGTGCTGCTTCTGCGGCTTCCGATTGGCTGCAGGATGCTCCTGCAACCAATCAGAAGCCGCACCTAGGAAGTCGAATGTTTTGGAAGTCAAATGGACTTCCGGAACGGATTCCATTTGACTTCCAAGGTACGACTGTAGTTCATTTGTTCAGTTCATTTTGTTTATATATATATATGTTGCAAGCCACCCAGAGTGGCTAGGGAAACCCAGTCAGATGGGCTGGGTATAAATAATAAAATTATTAAATTATTATTATTTGCTTATGGAGGCAAGTCCCTACAGCTGTCACCCTGAACTATCTGAACCTAGACAGCACAGTTATGTTCCATCTCATGGAGACAAGTAGTCTTCCCATTAATGTTTAGTAACCCTAGTTGAGATAATTTACCTGTTTTTTTGAGGTAAGGCAAGACAGGGCAGTTGTATGACAAAAACATTATTTAATAAAAATTCAATTATTATTTGCTTTATACATGGCATGAATATGAGTAATTCTGATGGAGCTTGACATTATCATTAGCATTACCAGCTCAATTCTATGCATGTCTACTCAAAAGTAAGCCCCACTGAACTCAATGAGACGTACTCCCAGGAAAGAGGGTAAAGTATTGTGGCACATCCCCAATTTGTGGATGATTTACCACTTCCCAAGTTTGCTGTGGCGAGGACAGAAGATGTTGGGGGTTATCAAGGAAATTTTGGATTCAAGGCCACCCCAGATAGATAGATCCATTGGAATATTGTGGTCCATGTCACCTGTAGGAAAACCACTAGAAGTAGACCTGTGCCTATCAAGCTTTCTGTGGGTCTACCAATGGCCATTGGGATGAATGGGTTGTACTGTTGGCAGAGTACAGAGGTGCAGATATGCCTCATTCTAGCTCCCCTCAGCCAGCCTTCAGCAGGAGTTTGAAGGATTGCTTTAAAACTAAGCAGTATTTTGTATATATTTATTTCAAAATTTGTAAACATAATGATAAGCATTTAGCAAATTTGTAGTGTACTTTCTGAAGCAGTATAAATGCACTTTTAAGCTTTAAATAAATGTGTTTTAGGTTTATAGCAAGCAATTAGTCTGCACTTTTACTTAGTAAGAATCTAAATAATAAATGGATTTTTTTTATTTAAATCAATTATTTAAATTGGCCTTTTTGCTTGGTGATTTAAATCAGTGATTTATACCCTAATGAGCTTAGTGCTGGGGAAATCAGGATTGTTAAAATAAATGTGGAGATTATTTATATTATTTTAACTGATATGAATATTTTATTTTTATATTGTTGTAACTCACCCTGGTGCCCTATGGTGAAGGGGGATCAAGAAGAAGCAACAACGAATTGATGATGATGATGATGATTTGTGACCCATTGAAACTCTACTCAGTGATGTACAAAGGCAGATGGGTGCAATGGTGTGGTTTTGGAAGATAGATTATATCTGAGTTTTAAAGGGGGGAAAGTTGGTAGGTTGCAAATAACTGAACATTAATCCAGATTCACAAAACCAAATCACTATGGCAAAATTCTCTGAAAAGTAAGCTACAGTGGTGCCCTGCAAGACGAATGCCTCGCAAGACGAAAAACTCGCTAGACGAAAGGGTTTTCCGTTTTTTGAGTCGTTCCGCAAGACGAATTTCCCTATGGGCTTGCTTTGCGAGACGAAACGTCTTGCGAGTTCTTGCGAGTTTGTTTCTTTTTTCTTAAAGCCGCTAAGCCGTTAATAGCCGCTAAGCTGCTAAGCCACTAATAGCCGTGCTTCACAAGACAAAAAAACCGCAAGACGAAGAGACTCGCGGAATGGATTAATTTCGTCTTGCGAGGCACCACTGTATAAATAACTTTACCACATTTTTAAAAAGGCTTGTGTGAATTGCCTTCAAAGCTATATCTACAGAATTCAATGGCACTTAAACTGATTTTTGGGCAGGCATACCTGCTTATGCCATTTTTAAAATTGCAACTCAATGTACTGATCTTAAATTCGTTATTTAGAAGCAAGCCCTATTGATTTTAGCAGAGTTTAGTTCCAACTGAGGTACAATCTGATGTTTGTATGCACCACTTGGGAATAAGCACAGTGGGACTTACTCCCAGGTAAAGATGGATTTGATCATTCTTACATGGTTGGTTGGGATTGAAAGTACCAAAACTCATGAGAAGTTTGATCCCATCCCACCTATAGCTCCTGGGGCACAAGTAGATGCAAATTCTTAGCTAGAGAAAGTGACACATTGCAGCAGTGTGAGCACTAGGGATAGGATATCATGGAAATAGAAGTGTTGAAGGATGGCATGTTGATCCTTACAAAACGGGGAATAACTCTGTACTTGCTGCTTGATAACCTAACTATTTGGATAGGCCACAAGATTAAGCTTTGAGGTTCTGGATGGTCAAAGAAGCTAGTTCACTTAAAACAGATTTTACAAGCAGTTTGTGAATGTATGTTTAATATATGATTCTTATACACGATACTCGCTTTATGTTTTCTCTCCAGTGAGAATTGGGGAAAGATAGCCACAGTGGAAATAACATATTATTTTCACATGAAACAGTGTATATTTTGGAAACTCACTGAGGAATCTGTTTCTTGCATAATCAAAGCATTTAAATGCAGGTTGAATTGCAGTTCGTATCAGCAGTGCATGTTTCCCCATCATGAAATACATGTGTATCGTTGTTGTTTTAGCTAACAGGGTTAATCGTATTTTGAAAACTGGGCCCTGTAAATCTTAATAAAGCCTTATCTTTAAAAAACAAAACAAAACATAGACTTAGTAATATTTTTACCTGATGCACCACTTCCGTGTGTTTTCACTGACATGGATCTGTGGAATGCCAAAATAGAATGCTTGCTGCTTCTCCAATATTTTATATGCTTTTGAAAAAGTCAAGGTTATAAGGCAGTGTACTCTGGGTTTGTAGTCCAATGAATGGCTCGACACTCATTCAGTCTTAACGTTTTATTATACTTCTTTCAAGCAAAACGGAATTGTTTTATTTGGCGCCATCAGCAGCAAACAATCAACAGCTTGTAATGTCTTTGTGAGTTTATAAGGAGGCACTAGCACTTTTACAAAGACCTTTGAATCTTGGATTGCTTTATTAAACGGCTCTTGAACAAACACTCCTTATTCTGGTCCAGCATGGAAGTCTGTTGATGGATTGTGCTTTTTGCAATTATTTTTCTCTGCCTCTTGTCATAAAATCAGGGAAGCACAATGCGGATTTTGTTTTGTTTTCTTTGGAGCTGGTTTCCAGTTCATTTTCTTACTATTTGGTAGGGTGTTGTTGTTTTTTAGCGAGAAAGGACAAGCAGTGATGAGTTAATCTGTAATTGGTTTGTTCTCAAGGTGCTGCAGCCACTCCCATTGCTTCAACATTAAGGTTTTTTCCCCTTCGAGAACAATTACTGTGTTGCTACTAATAAGTTTCAGCCAAGGAGGGAGTAGTAGATAACATTTATACTGTTGTTGCATATAAAACAGAAGAGGTGAGAGAAACATGGCAATTTGTCTGAGAAGCTCTCAGCATAATAAGAGATTAGAATAAAGATTGGGGGAAAATAAAAACTCTACTTCGTAACAGTTATTGAAATATTTTTTTGCGCTTTCTTTGGACAACAGAACTGGTGCACCTTACAGTTGTTGCCACTATTCACAATTTAATCCCGTTCTAGGAACTGCTGTGCATTAGTGTTACCTGGTTCGTGACATCTCTTTTCCTAAAGATTTAATGAAGGTTTAAGTGGTTGGGTTGTCAGATTTTCAGTCAGTTGCCAAATCCAGCTCTTGAAAAGGCAGCCATGATATTTAAGTACTTTGTAAATGTTTCTATTTTCCTGTTAACCTCTCACTTTTCTTTTTAACCAAATGCCCATCTGGTAGCAACATTCGGTATAAACATAGCGCAATGCATTTTTGAAGCAACTGTGCCTTCTGTCTCTCTCCCTAAGCAATCTCCCCCCTCTTCACATCCCACTTCTTCTGACTTTCCCCTAATTTCCATTGCTCAGAATTGTTAACTCTCTCTTAGCCATTTTTAATGGCTCTATCTTATTACAATCAGCTCATTTATACCTGCTGCTGAGGTCACTTTAGGAAAGAACAGAAAAGGAAGAGTATTAATTCTGAAAATTGAAGCTTTAGTTACAGCAGAGACATTATTATTTTTTCTTTCGTGACAATATTGGTTTCCATTGAGGCAAAGATGAGCCTTTTTTAAAATGCAAAGTGCTAGAATTCACCAAAAAGGTTAAAACTGAAGTGAGTAATCTTCGGCACATAATATGCAATTGTTAATTTTAGCTCCGTGCGTAGGAGCTGTTATGACTTGAACAGCCGGCTCTAGCCTTCATTAGAGGAGAAGCTCACAGTTTTTTGAGACAGGTGGAGCCGGATCAAGCTGTGAAACTGATTTGCTTGAAGCTGGCCATTAGTGTTAGAAATCTGGTCTCTATTTTATCTTTTAAAACCCTACAATGATTATATCTATTATTATTATTGGTATTTACTTTTTGTCTTCCCTCCCCCTCCCCACCAGGTTGATGACGATGATCTGTCAAACTCTTTAAAGGAACAGCATGGAGATTGGCACTCTGAACTGTTAAATGGGGTCATGGGACTCACATTGTCATTGATCACTTGTGTGGATTTAACCAGTGAGGAGCAGCATCAGCAACTGATAGAAAAGCGTCAAGAATTAACACAGCACTGAAGGTAAACAGCTTCTTTTTGTTATGTACCCATTGGCAGAAGGAGGTATAATTTCTGTGGATTTGTGCCATGCCCATACAGCCACATCAGGTCTGTGAGCATGTTGCTTTAGGTGTACATCTCTGGAGTGCATACCAAGCAACAGGGATAATGGTTAAGATTCAGGTAACATATGGTGTTATATTTGAATTTATGAGAAAGAATGGCTTCATTTCAGATATGAATGCTCTGCAAATAAACGGATCAGCTGTAGGGGAAAGTGTGTGTGTTCCGAGAAAAGAAAATGTAATAACATGACAGTATAACACAATAGCCTAGATAAAGAATGGGTTTATTTGATTGTTACCAACCTCCTCTCTAAATCATGCAACTTTTGCCCCAGTGTTCACATATAAAGAAACAAAATATATTGTAAGTGTTTTTTTGGGGGAAGGGGGTTAAAAAATAAAAACAAAACATTCATTGTTCAAAGCCCCAATTCTTTTCACAAATCATGTTCCCCTTGAAAATTTAATTATGGAACAAGACCCTTTGTGATCTTTCTGTTAAACTTGACAAAGTAAATGCAGCCAGGATAAATGTATACCCAGTTTTCTGATTTTCTTTATTTAAAAAAACAACAACCCTCAATGCACATTGTATTTTCCTTTTGAAATAAACAAAGAAAGGCGGCATCACAAAGATCTATTCAGTGTTAATTGCAACCTGCGAAAGAAGCAAGATGAAGACTCGATTTATCTAATAACCGTTATTAAATTGCGAGAAGGGCAAATACTGAAACCTGTTTTGAAATAACTCCTCTTCTCTTCCACACTTAATTTTCTTCTTAAGATTTTTCTCTCCAAAAAGTAAAACAAAAAAGGCGAATTGGGGGGGGCGGTTAGGAGAAGAACAAAAAGTGCTAAATTATTCATGAGATACATCTGACAACTGATCAGTAGCGGAGGTGTTCGGAGCTGAGGGGGTATTTCATAGGGAGGAAGAGGGAAAATAATAATAGGCTTTAACTTTGAAAAGCCGTATTGAGCTCCTGTGCAGCACACTAATGTGAGCTGAGACCAATGCAGTTAAGATATCTTCATCAGAGCTTCCCTGCCAAGGGCTTCCAGGAGGATTTTTACTGTGCTGGAGAGTGACATGGAGTTTGGAGGAGGCTCGTGATTTTTTATAATGGAGCTGTCAATTTGAGGGCTTGAAATGGTGACAATGGGGGTTTTATTGCCAAATTTAGAATTAATGTTTATGTTGAATTCCTCTTCATCCAGGGCTTAATTTCTCCCTTTCTTGTAAGGAGTGCTTATAACCTTGTTGTGTGTACACAGGGGGAATGACTGACTGGTAGAGGTGTGGATTAGTTGTTTTTTCCATTTTCCAAAAAGCGATTGACAGTCTAGCGGAAGGTCTGGTCTGCTTGATGCCTCCCCAACAGAAAAGCACGCATAGGTTATCGTTTATTTGGTCCATCACCTACGTGGTAAAAGAATTCACTTCCATCCCACATCCCTAGCTGTGGGACAAAAAGGGTAGGGGGAGGAATTTCACGTCCGTATTTTCTGCCACAATGAGTACTTGAAAGCAAGCCGTTCTACTTGTTAGATTTTACACAATTCAACGTTCACCTAGAATACTTCAGTCCCATTGCCGTCTGCTGAATTGCATTGCCCTAATTCTTGAGTTCCTTGCTGTGCTTTGTTAGTTCATCATGGAGGAAATAAAAATATCTCTCGTGGGAATCAGATGGCAAATATCACCTCCTATTTTGTTTTTTAATGTCTTGACCTTTCAGGTCATCAAATCTTGTTCTATTAATTTCTACCTGGGAGAATGTCTGAGCAAGGTAAAACAGAAGAAACTGGAAGCGAGCAAGACTCAGCCATCTCCCAACAAGAGAATTGCATCCTTAACTCAGAGGTAGATGAAAAAGATGAAAATGGCAAATCAGACCAGGTAAGAACAAAAAGTGACTTTTCCGTTAAACTACTGGACTTTTTAAAAGCAATTTTGTCATTCTTTAATTTTTAAAGACCTTCTCCGCACCCATTTTGAGTTGGTATGGCATGTCTTAGATTTTCCCTTTCAATTCTGGAAGATCTGTATTTCTGTTAACTGCATTCGTCATTAAAATTGTTGCGTTGTATGAACACAAATAAATGCATATCAGATCAGTTCCTAGCTATGCAAAAAAGAGGAAACTGCTTATATTGTGAGAAATCCATTGGGAAACACTTATGATAGTGGAAAGGAGGAAGAAGAAAATAGTTATCAGCACCACTGTGTATAGATAGAACTTTTGCAGTGCCTATTGTCTCTGGCTTCAGATTGCTATGAAAAAAAAATATTTTTTTTAAAAAACAACAGCAACAGTAAAATGCCACACTGATTTGAATTCTCAAGGAGAGATGAAAACAAAGGGGTTTCAGAGGGTTTCTGTAGACTTGTGTTGTAGAAATAATGCTTTTATGTGCATATAAAAATGGAAATGATTGTGGCTAGTTACCACCAGTGATATTAATGCTAAGGCTCCTTAAGGAGTCATTTTAAGGTCCACAAGTTACCAAGTTACCTGACAATCACCACATGAAACTGGTACTTCATGAATGATTTAATGAACTTGCTGCTATTCCTGTTATGCATATTTTCCACCCTTAGACATGCATAATTTGTCACTTGCTGTTTGCAGAAACGAGGTGCTAACCAGAACCAGCAGAAAAAGAGACTCAAGGTAGAGATTTTGACTACTTTCTCGGAGTCAGGATAAACTAGCTGGGGGTGGAAAGATCCATGTATATATCATGAAAGCGTATTCCTATTTTATTCATTCGTGCAATAGTTAGTTACAATAAGGTTAGTGGACTTCCTTGAGTTATTAGCTATTTACTTTATACAGTGTAAATGCTTAAGATCCTTTTTCATTTGAATACCTGCATTTTGGTGGGAACTTCCATTTTATATTAAATTATGCATAGGGATTACATTATTTGCAACCTTCACTATATCTGTGTTCTACCTCATGCCATCCCAGCAACACAGAACCCCATGTCCGCGAAACAAAATTTTCCCTACTTTGAGGTCTATCTCTTTACTTTTTATTTTTTGAAACACAGTGAGGAAGGCTAGTACACACACACACACACACACACACACACACACACTGGTATTCAAAAGTGATTTCCTTATTCTTCTATATTCCAGTCAGGAGGGAAGGGTAAACTGGTCCGAAGTCTCGCTGTCTGCGAAGAATCTTGCCCTCGTCTGGAAACAGAGAATGACAACCAGGTATCTAAGACCAAGCCATTAACTGCATGGTTAACTTTTCATGTGCATGATGGCATATTTGGGCTTTAACTGCATTTACTGATTTTGGGAAACCAAAATCACCTTTCACAAGAGCATACTTTATCATTATTATTTTAGAAGTTGTCTGGTTTTTAGCGTGTACTTATTTTGAAATAAATGAGTAGCTCTACAGTATGTCACAGGGTGTTATTTGCTCTCTTTTTTTTCCAGACCCCCTGAAAATTTCAACAAATGGAAAAGAATTCAAAAGAATTCAGATTAATTATTTTTTAAAAAATTTAAAAAAAGATAGAATTGTTATTTTCTCTAAGGCTATCTCTTGTAAGACTACACCAGACATAGTTCTGAGTTCACTCTGGCATCTAAGTCATGCAAGGTCCATGTATCAGTTCCCCGGAACCTATTTCATAGTAACATCCAAATTCTTGACACTTTTAAGTCAGAATGATCTAAAAGACAGTGCATTGTATTCCATATGGTTCATTCTTCTGATTCTTGGTGCCACTTTTCCAACTGCAAAGCATGTGTTTGATTTAGTCTGTATTGGTGTTGTATACCATTTATTCCAAAGAAACAAATATATGGATCAAATCAGGAAAATTTGATCTAAGAAACTTTAGAATTTTGCAAAACCTTTCTTCTACACTTACTGCAAAAAAGAAACGAAAAAGAAAGAAAAGCTTACATTGTCTGCTTATAAAAGCAAATTTATCAAGAACATAAACCAAAAAAGTAAGCTTCTTGCCAGTATTTCTTACTTGAAGACTCAGACATTATTTGAAGAATGAGATCAGCCATAGAGAGGGAGAGGAGACAGAAAACGAAAGATGAACTTTTGTTAGCACAAAATAATTCTCACATTTAAGTGTACTTTCTAAGACTTTCCGCTACTAACTTGAAATGAAACAAATCAAACTCTCCTCTTTGGACTCTTTACTACGGAGGGTTTTATTTTTTTGAAAGACCAAAAAACCCACCACCCCATATCTTATTGCGCTGTGGGGTTTTTGTACTTTCTCGCTGCTCTACAATGACAGTTTATGCAGTAGGACACTAGATAGATTATTTTATGAGTTGTGGGTAAATATTTTGAGAGGGGGAAAAACAATACTATGACACATTGACTCAACTTGCATATAAGAAATGTATGGCTTTTGTTCTGCATTTTATTTGTGTTTTCTATCGTTTTAAATGGAAACTGAAAGGAGGAGAATATAAATATATCGCAGTATATTCAATGTTGCATGGTAGTTACTGATGTACTCTGCAAAAAAAGAAAGAAAAGGAATTTTATACACTTCAGAGGCTAGCAGGTTTGGAGGTAAAGACTAGATACCTCTTCTCATGGTGCAATCCTATGCATGCCCACTCAAAACTAAATCCCATCGAGTTCGATGTCACTTCTAGATTAAGTGTATATTTAGGATTTCAGCCTAAACTGCCTACAACGCAAGGCAGAACAAGGTTGGGATTCACATTTCTTCTGGTTCCTGCCACTGTTTCGTCCAGTACTAGGGAGAATGATTTGAGTATAATGTAAAGAATGCAGGGATTAAAATACTTTCTGCCACCAAAGTCTCCTCTTTAAGGGTTATTGGCTTTTTATGATTCGATGGGAAGTATACTTGATTTAAAACTTTATAATGATTACCTTTGCACTAGGAAAGTTAGAGCTGTGCTCTCCTTTTTGAGCTGACTGAAGGATACTGGAAGGGTTGGGCCAATGGAAATTGTTTCTTTCTTTCTCTCTCTTTTTCCTCTAAGTTAATTTGGATTTTTTTTTCTTTGTTAGTTTATTTTAGCTGTTTACAAAGCACAGGGTCTAAATTATCAGAGAATGTATGGTACATTGCCAGTACTACAGATTGTACTACAAACCTAATGTTTGTATTATATTTAAAAATTTGCCTTGATTTTCCTGTGTAGGAAAAAAAATCTTGTTACCTGTATTACTTGATCATGAAAGCTTATCTGATCACACACTTTGTCCTTACTTTAAAGGAATGTTGCCTCTAATGTTATGATATTGGTTTATCAGTGTATTATTGCAAACTGAACATCTCCTGTTGTTCGCTAAACTTTTCCTGTATGAATGTACTTATCAACGTTGTAATTTTACTATTGAGTAAAAATATCAATAAAAAGTGAATATAAGAAAAAACCATAGATTGTTTTCACGACTCTGCAGCACTTCTGTGTGTGTTTATTTCAAATGCAATGAATATGTAGAAATGGTATGTTATATGTTATGGCACAAAGTATATATGCTGTATGCTTACATGTCTGTTCTAGACTATATGTAAAGTCTGTCTTCCTTTCCATCCCCTCTAAAAATGCAAGTGCACTATAACTATCATTTTGACTTCAGGATAATAGAGTGTACATAGCAGAAGCAATTCTAATTGTTTCCCTTAATTGAACAACACAATTGCACTTTTATCAGCTTGCCAGATTACTTGCAGGGAGTTTACCACAAATTCAGACAGAGCTACTAACTATAAACCATGCATTTTCACTGTGTATTTCTCCCCAATAATCTTCAGTTCAATTCACTATACCTTCAGAGTCACGGACCGTAAGTTAACATAATGTTATGTCCACTTAAGCTCCAGTGATTTCAATGACAATTATGTACATAATTGTCTACTGTATTGGGTTCATAAACAGTTAACCTCCCCCTGCCACCATTCACATTTTATAACATATTCCCTAAGAACTACACTTTGGGTTATATTGAATGCTGGTCCTACTCAAAGTGGACCCATTGAAATTAATGAACATGACTAACCTAGGTTCATTTCAATGGGTCTACTCCAGGTAGGACTGGCATTGGATAGAACTCATTCAGATATATTTTAATGTGCTAGTTGATGGATCTAGCAATATGAGATTAATGTTAACATTATTGGGACCCCATCAGTAATACATATATTTATAGAAGGTGTGGACATCTGAGTTATTTGTAATCTAATATGCAGACTTAACTGCTGCACTTGACCAGCAGCAAGTTATAGCTTCTTAATTCTAAGTAGGTGTCACCAATTTCCTTATATCAATTTTAAACAGAAATAAATTAAGTGTGCTTAGGTTTTAGGTGCCTCAGTCCTCGGTCCATTTACTTTGAAAGACATTACCTTGATACCAGTGGAACGTATTTTATACCTAAGCTTTTGATCTTAAGATTTTAGTTGTAACCCCCTCATTCCTGAGTACTTTTCCTTAGGCACTTTTACTTAAAAGTGCTTCCCACTGAGTCCAGTGGGATCTGCTTCAAGGAAATTATAATTAATCTGAAGCAAATAAATTAGGATATATTCAGAATTAAATCCTAATCCTCTGAGGTATATAAACGACATAAACTATATAAGTAGCAGGAGGCAAAATAAATACCGGGAAGCAAAATTTGTCCCTAAGAGTACAATATTTTTTTCCTAATATTAAGTTCACAGAAGACAGTTTGGCTTCAGCTTTTCTAAGCATGCACTTCATAATGCATTTTGGAAGCCAAGTTTCCTGAATCTGGCCCTAAATTATTATATTTTTTTCAACAGGAATCAATACAACTGCAGCTTTCAAGTTTCCCCAGCCTACAAGAAGAGGATAAATCTAGTAAAGATGACTCTGAGAAAGAAAAAGAAAAGAATAAAAACAAAGAGAAAGATAGAAACAGTGAAAAACCCAAGATAAGAATGTTATCAAAAGGTGAACAAAAATATTTAAGTCGTTATTCAGTCATCTATCATAGTCACGTATGAAGACGTTTTTGAATGCAAGAATGTATTTGCTTGTTTTTGTTGCTTATATATTTGATATTCTGTATACGTCTGTGGGATTGTAGTGTATGTATTTGTTTATGCATTGTTTGTGGAATATATGCAGTATGTCTACATTATCTAACGAGCCTGCACAGTTTCTGACCCACAAACTCAAATGCAAAGCCAATCCAGGGGGCTTCATTAAACACTCTGGTTTGACTTGCTGCCTGGAACTGCAAAGCAAGGGAACTGTGAAGAACTCTGCTGGTCCTAATATGTGGCCAGTAGTCTCTGTTCAGACTGGAGGGTCATACATTCTGCTAACTTCAAATTTGAATCAGTGACTGCACTAAGAGGGAGGATTAATTATTCTGCTTTGGGGAGGACAGTACACTTGTTCACTCACCTCTTTTCCCCACTCCCACCCCATGTCCCTGGAATGAGATCAGTGTTGGACCTTGGGTTTGGGCAATAGCTCCCTCCCCTACTTCACTGTAGAGAAAAAGTAACCACAACCAAACCATATAGGGGCAGCTTTCATTCAGTGTGTGTTTGTATGTGGTGCATGTACACAATTATTGTATGTGATTGCAAGGAGCCCACTTCAAATACTGCATGAAAATGGATGTAAGAATAGCTACCCAATTTTGCTAACACATGCCATGCCATATAATTTGTTGTTAGCGACACACTACACTCTAAAGCCAATGTCCACATTTTCATGCTGACTCAGATCCATGATCATTATCAGCAGTTGGGTGGAAGGGCAGGTGCCTACAATGAGTTCTTCCCAATAAGTAGAAAGGGGAAGAGTGGGAGCTTTTGCAACTGCAGATATTTACTGTATTTTTCGCTCTATAGGGTGCACCGGACTATTCCCCGCCCCAGCCCCAAAGAGCAAAGAAGCCAAGACAGCGAGCGGGATCCATCCTGCTGGCTGTCTTGGCTTCCTCTTTAGCCACGCACAATCTCTCCAGCCGGAGAGGTTGCGAGCGGTTTCGTTTTTAGCCATGGGGCTGGGGAGAGGGAAGCCCGAGCTTCCCCCGACCCCAGCCCCCAGAACGGGTCCAGGAGAGGCGGCGAGATTGCACGCAACCTCGCCGCTGCTCCCGGAGCTTGCGGGGCTGGGGACGGGGGCTTCCCCCGACCCCAGACCCCAGAACAGGCTGCCTTTGGAGTGCTTTGGGAACTCCCGCTGTGCTCAGAAGGCTTGCGGAGAACAGGCTGCATTCCACCAGCCTTTGGAGCGCAGCGGGAACTCCTGCCATGCTCAGAAGGCTTGCGGATAGCTGCCTGAAGCCCAGGGAGCGCAGCGACAGTTGGCGCTGTGCTCCCCGGGCTTCAGGCTTCAGGCTGCCATCCACAAGCCTTCAGAGTGCTCCGAAGGCTTGTGGATAGCTGCCTGAAGCCTGGAGAGCGAGAGGAGCCAGTGCGCACCGACCCCTCTCGCTCTCCAGGCTTCAGCGAAAGCCTGCCTTTGCTCCATAGGACGCACACAAATTTCCCCTTCATTTTGGGAGGGGGAAAAGTGTGTCCTATAGAGCGAAAAATACGCTATATCTGTGCAAATAACCAGAGTTGCTGTATGGAGGGGAAGTTATCACTGCTCTTGCAGAGTCTTCCAGATGTGTTGAGTGAGGTCCAAGCACAGAAACTTGTTGCTAACAGAGCCATTGTCTTTTTATATTTTGTTCGGAAATTTACGTAAGTCTTAAATATGAGTTAATATACAATTAAATTGCCTGCCGCATTTTAAATGTCACGCATGAAATGTGCAAGATTATCAACAGATGGCTGGTTTATTTGTGGTTATCCAATCTTGCCCTGCTTATTTACAGTAGGTTTTTTTGAATGAAGTTTTGTTCTCATCTCTGTGGACAATGTTAGAAATCCATTGCGAAAATATATTAAAAAGTGCACTTCATTGCTATCTACACATTCACACATGACACTGCTTCCCAGTGTTGCACGATGCAGATTCTTATTCATATCCAATATCATTCTATTGATACCATGCAACAAGTGGCTTGTAATGCAGTCTGCAAGGCACTTTGCCAGTGTAATGACGTTTAAATGCATCATGTGACATTATAATGGGTGCTTTATGGATTGTCAAAAAGGGTGTATACTTCATCAGCGAATGCAGTAAAATGAATCAGTCTGGCTGAAGCTGGACAGAATATTAAAAAAACACCTTGCTGTCTTTGGTTATTTGGGATGTGAAATATCCCTCAGAGAAATGAGCTAGTCTGTGTAAAAGACTTCTGTTTTCTTCAGAATTCAGTTCCTTGAGTAGAAGTCTCCACATTCACACTGAAATTTTGCTCAAAGTGAAATTCAGTACAGTTCTAGATGAACACATTCATAAAAGGGTCAGGGGGAAAATCCCACATTGTGTCCAATCAAATCCCCAAAGTGGTTCTGATTTGCCATTTTGTCTTTCACATCTGTTTTGATTTTCTATCTCACTCATGCTTGCCCAAACAAAACTGAATATGTACAAAACTTGCCTGGTATTTTACACACACATATGCACAATAATAATAGTTCAAATAGTTGGAAAGGCTTTAGGTGGATCTATACATCCCTTGTATTATTCTAAAGCACAGCACTTTAAATTAATATCCACTTGTACTTGGGGCTTGTAGCTGTTGGTACAGTGAACATAAAGAACGGGTGCCCTCCCACTGTTCTGTGGGGTATTTTTTCCTGATGCAAGTCACAGCCTGCATGTGTTAGGTATTCTTTCAGACAGCTGGAGAAGGAGAAGACTTTCCTCCACACAATGGCTTTAATTTTTTTTTAACCTTAAAAAAAATGAAACTATTAGTAATGTATGTTTTTTCAGACTGCAGCCAAGAATACACAGACTCAACAGGCATAGATTTGCACGAATTTCTGGTTAACACATTAAAGAATAATCCCAGGTAAGTAGGCCTTTTTTGTGTGTGGCTTGAGAACTTAGCAATGGGGAGCAATGTGGTGTTAGTCCTAGAGTGGTCATGGTGTGGAAAATAATACCTATGCTGCTATGAAAACATATTGATTTTTAGCACAAACCCCTATAAGTACTCCATAAGCTTTCCCTTTCCCCATAGTTTAATTCCTTTCTCAGGGAGTTAGCCACGTCCATCCACACACCTCTCTTCCGAGACATGCAACACAGCATCTAAAAACCCACAGCCATCTATGTCAGTGTTTCTCAAATATAGCCATACTGCCAGATGTGATGTGCGCACTGTCATGGCAGCTCCTCAATGCTCTGTCATTAGTTAGCCACAATCAACATCGATCACAACCATTTGTGATCATGTAATCACACATTTTTGACAATGTAAGGCTAATGCCCAGTGAACATAAATGGCCGGTGATAAGGGGAGCCAAGTAAAAAAACCCACACAGAATTATGCAAGGCTTGTGTGTTTGGTGGAGTTAGGATTCAGAGACCTGGTGGGGACAGGCAGAGAGGTTTAGAATACAGATACCCAATAAGGAGGAGCCCAGCTTATAATAGTTGTTTCAGATCCCAGGATAAGCAGAAATACTGACTAGGCTTATGCTGTCTGTGTTTTGTCATAAAACTAAACTCTGGTTTAGTGCTACAGGAACGAGCCTTGGGCACATGCACCACACACCCCACCCTCAGTACAGCATTTGTTTCCTGTTTGGTCAAATCATAGGTGAAACAACCATTTTTACCCAACATTTCCTATTTTGGACATGATGACAAACTGTGATTCGTCGAAAATAGAAGTAAATGCTTTCAGTCTCCTTGTGGTCACACAAGATGATAAGGATTTGGGGGGGGGGAGTGAATAACAAGTTCATGTACTGAACTACGGCTTAGCATAGCATATGTTTTCTGCCATTGAAATGGTTAATCATGCTTCAGTCTGGTACCAGCTCTTGAAATAGAATATAATAATCTGTTCCGGCTGCAATGCAGACTAGGTCCTGTGAACATTTTCAGTCTCTTAACTGCTACACCTTAGACACTCTTACACATCAGTTATATGGAGAACCACTGACATAGGTAATCAGGTATCCCTGCATTTAAAGCTCCTCTTTTTGTTTGGAAAAGTAAAATGTTTTGTCCCCACCCCTAGATATCACAGTCCTGTAGAACTCCAGTGAGTTAGGAAATCTTATATCATATGACTCTACATCCAAAGAAAAGACCAATCTGCCTTACTTTTATATATGATCAAAGTTAAAACAACAACAACTCTGTAACTACTATTTACTCTATTAATAGTCACATCATCATCATCATCGTCATTATTATTATTATTATTATTACTATTATTACTACTACTATACATTTTTATAGTATATCATAATTGATAATGATGAATGAATAAATAATAATGACTTCTGTTTTGATGCAGATTGCAATTTCTAATCCAAGAAAGATTAGAAAACAATATCTAGTTCTCATTTTCTGACAATTATCAAAACATCACTATTATTATTATTATTATTATTATTATTATTATTATTATTATTATTATTATCATTATTATCATTATCCCATGGATAATCCCTCTAGATATTGCTGAACTATAATTCATATTGGTGTCAGCATGGGTCGTGGTCAGTGATTATGTGAGTAGTGATTTGGAGGGCCATAGACTAGCCCCGCCCTCCTGGCTGTAATACATTATTTCAGAATCAAAATAATGAGGGCTTGGGTGCAAAGGACTATGCACATAAGGAGAAAGTGTATTAGCCTTGTTCTATGGACTCCTGCCACAGGTGGCGCTGTGGGTTAAACCACAGAGCCTAGGACTGGCCGATCAGAAGGTCGGCGGTTCGAATCCCTGCAACGGGGTGAGCTCCCGTTGCTCGGTCCCTGCTCCTGCCAACTGAGCAGTTCGAAAGCACGTCAAAGTGCAAGTAGATAAATAAACAGCATTTCCATGCGCTGCTCTGGTTCGCCAGAAGCGGCTTAGTCATGCTGGCCACATAATCCGGAAACTGTACGCCGGCTCCCTCGGCCAGCAAAGCAAGATGAGTGCCGCAACCCCAGAATCGGCCACGACTGGACCTAATGGTCGGGGTCCCTTTACCTTTACCTTTATGGACGTCTGCAAAAGAGGTATTGGGAAACTACAATATGTCAGGGGTTCTAGTACAACATGGGTGGCCACCGTGAGCCACTCACGAAGCTGGATTCCTAACCCATCAGTCACCACCACCATAGCCAACGATCAGAGATAACAGGGTTGTACTCCAAAAGCTCCTGGAGGGCCACAGGATTATCAGCCTCTCGCCGTCAGGATGTGAACTGTGATATCTTTACATGTCATAAACAAGTATTTGGGTTTGTTGTAAAGGGACAGAGCAAAGAGACATAATTATTTCAGTAGTTGTAGTCCTCTGCACCCCCTCCCCCCAAAAAAAACCCCGAGTAGTGATTTTCTTATTATTTTCTTAACAGGGATAGAATGATACTGTTAAAACTGGAACAGGAAATTATTGATTTTATCAGTGACAACAGGTAAGTTAATTTTCAGTATTGATTTCTTGTTTGCTGACTCTTGTCTACTATGCCAGGCACTCATAGACTTTTGTTTTGAGCAATATTATTGCAATAGGAAAATGCCAAGCTTTTAACAAAACGAATGTCTTTAGTAATTATTCATCCCTAAGGAATTAGATAAACGTCTTTAGTATGGATCCTTAATTGTGTTGTGCTGGTTTCATTGGCAAATGCCCCCAGACAGTCCTATGTTATCAGAGCTAAGGATGGAGGCAGCAATTGCTCCAGACCTACAGACTTTTTGGAGACTAAGATTCAAAATGCTCCTCTGTCCCAGTTTGGGCATTCTCACCCCACAGGGTTGAAATTAAGACAAAGGAGATAACTTCACATATACCCACCAGAACCCTTTGGAGGAAGAACGGGATACAACTAAATAATTACTGCTAAATATTTATTTCTGAGCTCTACTGCTCAAATTATTTCTGATGTACATTACCATTAATTTCAAAGGAGTTTGCATAAGCTATTTGAAATAAAAGGAGATTGTTTGATGCAATTGTTTGTTTGATGCTAGTCAGAATATACCTACCTGCCTGTTTGGGCAAAACACGACCCAGTATCACACTAAACAATTCAATTTCTTCCCTTCAACAATTTCAATAAAGCTATAAGATAATGCAGGTTGTTCTGCTCATAAAAAGCAATAACTTAAAACATTTTGCATATTTATATTTTAAACACAGACTTGACACATGCAGAATATTGGGATGGATGACTGGGAGAGTTATTGTTAAAGAAACTAATGAAAATAACAGACTTGGCATACCAGATCTGACAACTGGCCATTAACTAATGTTTTAAAAGATCGTGGGTGGTTATTGCTGGTTTTTTTAAAAAAAGTGGACTGCTATTGTTCCATCATGTCAGAGGCTGCATCATATTGAGCCCTTTGACGTTTTGTTCCAGTAATCATTATAAAAAGTTCCCCCAGATGTCGTCATATCAGCGAATGCTAGTGCACAGAGTGGCAGCTTACTTTGGCATGGATCACAACGTGGATCAGACTGGGAAATCTGTAATTATCAACAAGACCAGCAATATGAGAATGTAAGTGTCACCTCACTGTTCTCCTTCTATTTCACTTTGCTAAGAATCGGTTGAAGTGCATTCCCTTTATCGCATCCCAGGTGTTTTCTTCCTTTGTTCTTTCGTTCTATTTGAGTAATACATATTTTTTTAAATATTTATTTTACCATTCATTCTCATGTGGAGTTTCGTTATGCCTGTCCTTGGAAGAACACTGAGGACATGAAATATGTTGAAGCAAATCAATCTAACTGTTGTTTGTTGATAAGAAAGCTGTGCCGTGCCTCTGGAATGGAATGTTATATTTCCCAGCCCCTCATTACCGCTGTAATGTTGGAGCGTAGAAAAAGTAAATTGTGGACTATTCTTTTCACTTGGAGTACTGCAAACTATTACCTGTAATACTTCTCGAAAGGGTAAATGTATTGTGTGGCATTCCCCTCCCTATTTTCTTTTTACAGGACTCTCCTTTTGAACAATGAGTTCCTTATCTGGTTTCCACTTTTGTTCTTTCAATGCAACGTTTTTCCATATATATCATTACCCTTTCACAGTTGAGAAACTGTCTCTGAATTAATTCACTTTGCATAATAAATGAGCTAAGAGCATCTGTTGTGTAGAAAATGGGCATCGAAAAATGCAAAGAGTTGCTTCTTATATCACTGGGTTAGGCAGGAATGCATTCATTTATTTCTTTTTCTTAAAAAAATGTATCTCCAGTTCCACCTCAATAGGTACCCAAGGCAACTCACAACAAGAAGGCACAGACAACCATTTTAAAATGACAATACCACAATACACACTAATGTCTGATGCCTAATGGTACAATCTTAGAGTGCACTCTGTTTATAAGAGACACATCAGCCTGATCAAGCTGGTTTGCAATCGCTCTGTTGTGTGTGCTGAACTCTGGTGGGTGCAGGTTCTGTTAATTTCAGCGTAGAGAACTGGAAGCTGCTGTTTGATTTGCTACTAGAATTAAAATAAATTAGGCACCCCATGAAGATGAAGGAATTCTGGATGATCTGGTGTCCCTGCTTCTCTTAAGAAATCACTGGATGAAGCAAATCATGGAAACTTGTTTTGTCCTGCATGAAATTTCAAGTCTGCATCGAAAGAATGGGATGCTTGGTTCAGATCAATGTCTGAAATTTAACCCCTATACCCCCTTCACTTATTAGCCCTTTATTGCCTTAGTTCATTAGTTCCTGTTTCTTAGTTCCTATTTCTTAATTTCTTACCTTCTCTGCTCCTTCCTTCATACTGTTTGCCTCTGGCTCCCTGTTCCTATTTTCTCTGCTTCTTCAGAGTTTTCAGCCTGATCTACTAAGCTCTCCTGTCCCTAGCTCTGAGTTTCTAATGCAACCCAAACTGACAACTTTCTTTGCAGGACTTAAGAGAAACTGGACTGCAGACATTCTGACAACTTGGTTCCCTGACCTTTGAAATGTGCATGAACATTCTGTAACCATGAACATTCTGCGGCTATGTCACTGGCTCAGCTAATCAAAGTCAGGATAACTGAGGAATTCAATATTTGCACATTTCTATATGAAATGCCCTAGCTTCTCACTTCTCTGAATGTTTCCTTGCAATTATTGGCAGTTCTTGCCTTGCGCACACATGGAAATATGTATTTAAGAGAAAACACACACATTTAAATTACTTTGAGAGAGAAAACACACATAAAGGCTTATTCAAAAAAAGTTTGTAAATCTGCATGCATTGCAAATAGCTGCTTCTAGGTTAAGTAGCTTGCAGAAACAACAATTAACAGTGCATAAGAAGCAGGAGTATACTACCGTATTTTTTGCTCTATAAGGCTCACTTTTTCCCTCCTAAAAAGTAAGGGGAAATGTGTGTGTGTCTTATGGAGCGAATGCAGGCTGCGCAGCTATCACAGAAGCCAGAAGACCAAGAGGGATTGCTGCTTTCACTGCACAGCGATCCCTCTTGCTGTTCTGGCTTCTGAGATTCAGAATATATTTTTTCTTGTTTTCCTCCTCCAAAAACCAGGTGCGTCTTGTGGTCTGGTGCGTCTTATAGAGTGAAAAATACGGTATGCTCTGGGCCCAGCAATCATACACAACAGCTCTTCTTTTCCTTCACCTTCATGGGGAGGTGAATTATCTGGGGGAGGCAGCAGCAGAAAAGTGTCCAACAGGGGAAGAGTTAAGCATTCCCCAAGTACTTTTCTGTTACCCCCTCCGGAAGTTGCTTTGGAAAGAAGAAGAAGCCTTCAGGCTTTCATCTGCGTCTAACATGTAGTCTTACTCTAAGAAAGTCAGTTTTGGAAATGGTTCTTAGCATACAGCCAGTATATTCAATAGCACATATTGTAGCCATAAAATTTAGATGGATTGCTTCCCAAACAGCACCATTTTCTTAGGCTTTAAGGTGACACTAATGTTTTTGTCTAACCGTTGCATAGACTCAGCAGCCCAGGTTTCTTTAACCTTGAAACCTGTTCCCAAAGAACTGCTTGTTTAATTCAAAATTAATTATGTGATATTATCACATACCCACAATTCCTTGACCTAACAATTAGTTCTCTTTTGCCTCCCTACCACTCTATTCCCCTTCTGTGTTAGCTTCGCAATTTTCATGTGACGCTTGGAACAGGAAAGGATACACAGATTCCATGGACTCTTCATTAATGAGGTTCAACTTACTATTATAAGAATGCTACCCAAACTCTTTTCAGACGTTTCCCACTGTTATATTCACTAAACTTATAGGGAGAAGAGAGGGACCGGTTGGTTAGCCCATCCGCAACATACACATATTTGGCTAAATGTGTGAACCATATGCACTTATGGGCTCCCTTTGGCTGTGCGTGTATAAGCCGTGGATTCAAGTACAATAACACTCTTTTATGCGCATTCAATCAACACATTTATGAAGGTTTGAAAGAGGCTGTAGTGAATGAGGAGTTCACCTATTCTTCAAGCATAATGGTTTTTAGCTAGTTGCAGACATGCCCCCATTCAACTGACCTGTGTACACTGGAGCTGATCCAAAACAGAGACTGTAGCTTTGACTTCACGCCAAAGGTTTATTGGAGATTAAATGGGTGCTCAAATCTAGGAAGTGGATGGGGTGTGTGAGAGAGCAAATTATACATACCCATAAGCTGAAGGTCACTCTTCTTGAAGCCTTTTTTGTTTTGTTTTGCTGCCATGCGTGTGCTGGCAATATCAAAAATCCTACAATATCCACACCAAGCACTCACATTTCTTCCCCATTATTCTCTCCCTAGAACATTGCCCTCCTTAAAATGATTCATAAAAATAACTATATGAAAATAATTCCAGTTACAGATAGGTAGCCGTGTTGGTCTGCCATAGTCAAAACAAAACAAAAATTCCTTCCAGTAGCACCTTAAAGACCAACTAAGTTAGTTCTTGGTATGAGCTTTCGTGTGCATGCACACGAAAGCTCATACCAAGAACTAACTTAGTTGGTCTTTAAGGTGCTACTGGAAGGAATTTTTTTATATGAAAATAAGTAACCCTCCTGTTTTGCCATGCATGAATGAGGTGGAAAATTTGGCCGCCATTCAATAACAACCCAGTATATCTGGATTTATTTACTTACTTACTTACTTACTTACTAGTATGTTCTCCCATACATTTCATGGAGAATTCTGGTTAAATATAATCCTTCATTTGAAATGAATAAGAAGCCAGTCTCGGAGGGTGGGTGAGGTGTCAGGTGCAGCACCTTATAGATTTCAGAGCCCTAGTGTCCGGAACATATTTGTATTATGCTCAGTTTGACTAGAAGTCATTGGGCTGTGAATCCCTTATCCCGCCCGCCCCCAGTCAACAAAACATTAAGGAAAGGTCTGTGGTGGCATGCCATAAAGTACGACAGGCAAGGGTTGTGCTTGCATGGAAATCCTTTGTGCTTGTTCACAGGTCTCTTTTGCATCCCTGACTTTGGTGTGACTGTATGTTGCATTATCACACAGGCTCTGGGCATCCTTGATGCTCCTCCAGCACCCTAATGCAAAATTATAATGCATAAGAATTATGTTAGCAGAATGTTACATATTCTGTTGTGCCAAATATGTCATAGCTGAAATATAATGTGGGTAGTACTGCCCACACTGAATCTGTTATCCCTTGTGTCAGCAACATAGGGGCTTGATTCACTGCTAACATCTTGTACCAGTTACATGGGTGCAGAAGCCATCCGTTATAGCTATACAGATATATCTATTTAAATTATTCTTTAAGAAATTCAGCAGCAAGCAGTGGGCCAGTTCAGATGTATTGATTCCACTCTGGTAAATCTGTGGCATCTTCATCTCTTCCCTTCCCTCCTCCCGCCATCATAATCATTCAAGCCACAGTTTCCTGTGACATCTGAAACAGGAAACTCTGGTTTAAGGACACCCTCCAAACCAGACTCAGATCCTTCTTTCTTATTCTGGCTCATTGGGGCCTTTAAACTACAGCTTCCTGGTTCGGACAGCAGAGGAAAGTATGGCTTAAGAAATGAAGACTGCAATCCTTGGCCCAGTTATTTGACCATAAATCTAACGTTGAACTCAGTGGGGCTTACTTTTGAGCAGCCATATATCAGATTGCACTGTAAGTTAAATTTTCTGAAGCTGGTTACAAAAAGAAAAGAGAGGAAGGAAGGAAGTTTCTGTCCTTGTGCTAATTTTATTTTTTCCATTTTCCACAAGTGCTATTTGCCACTCTTTGTTGCACCAATTTGTCCAAGCAGCACCTTCTAAGTTGTCCCAGCATCTTGTTGTTATGAGTCTTATTAAAGATTTAAGTTAATATTATCTCCCGTGAAAAGTTTGAGGAGAGCCAGCTCTGGACATTTAGAGACGTTTTGTAAGGTAATTGACTTTTATTTGGACAAATACTTCTTCCCATGACTTACCGATCTCTGATTGTTACATCTGAACAAGTACTAACAATGTACAATTCCTTTATCTTTTCTCTATATGTACCTAGATAATGGGACGCAGGTGGCGCTGTGGGTAAAACCTCAGCGCCTAA